CCAGAGGAATAAGGCGGCAGGCCGTCAGGGCCTGGAGGTGTTGGCAGCAAGAGGATGCAAGCTTTCTTGCAAGGGTGGCAATGGCCTCCAGCCTCCCCCAATAGCCACACCTTCGCCACCATTTTATTACCTTAATACTACTGCTACTACTACTACTACTACTACTACTTTAAATAGTGGCCTCCAGCCTCCCCCAATAGCCACACCTTCGCCACCATTTATTTACCTTAATATTAAATATCCTAATACATAAGAAGCTATCCTATCTGTGATAAATTAGTTGAGCCGCAGATCTATGCGGCATTTAGTGACTGTAGCCTCATAGTCAATATCTGCAGCAGTTGTCGGAGTAGGGGCAGAAGCTCTCGTTCCCCTGAGGCAGAGCAAAGCCGACCGAAGGAGAGAGAAAGACAGTGGACATCTCATCCAGGCTGTAACATAACTTCTGGGCTGCTGCTTCTGTTCGGAGATCAGCTCGGCGAGTCTGGCGTAGAAGCATCTTGCACTTGGTCCCATCCCACCAGAGGTTGTGAACACTAGAGGAGTGAAGCTGCCTTGATCAACGTTTTGAATTTTCTCCCCGTATGCCCTTCTCTTGTCGTTCTCGTTCCTCCTACTACTACTACTGCTACTACTTTTTTTTTTTTTTTTAAAGTGGCCTCCAGCCTCCTCCAATAGCCACACCTTCGCCACCATTTATTTACCTTAATATTAAATATCCTAATACTACTACGATGACCTCCATCCTCCCCTAATAGTCATACCTTCTCCACCATTTTATTACCTTAAAATCAAATATCCTAAGTAGCTATCCTAGCTGTGTTGAGTTATTTGAGCCGCAGATCTATGCGGCATTCAGTGACTGTTGCCTCGTAGTCAATATCTGCAACTGTTGTCGGCCTTGTGGCCGATGCTCTCTTTCCCCTGAGGCAGAGCAAAGCCGACCTAAGGAGAGAGGACAGTCGACATCTCAACCAGGCTACTACTACTACTACTACTACCAATAATAATAATAATAATAATAATAATAATAATAATAATAATAATAATAATAATAATAATAATAATAATAATAATAATAATAATAATAATAATAATAATAATAATAATAATAATAATAATTTAAAGTGACTTCCAACCTCCCCTCATAGCCATACCTTCTCCACCATTTTATTACCTAAATATTCTAATACAAAAGTATCTATCCTACCCTAGCCGAGTTAGTTGAGCCACAGATCTATGTGGCATTCAGTGACTGTTGCTTTATAGTCCATGTCTGCGACTGTTGTTGCTTCTGGGTTTGCTGGTTCTTTTCAGATAACACTTCGACCAGTCTGGCGTAGAAGAATCCTGCACTAGGTCCCATTCCCCAGATTTTGTGATCACCAGAGGAGTGAAGCTACCTTGATCCACGTTCTGAATTCTCTTTGCTGGCGTCCTGTTCTTGTCGTTCTCGTTCCTCCTGTGTGCCTCCTTGAGAATCAAGTCACAGTGACATGCGGCCATGGGATCGAATATCCTGATATCAAAGAAGGTTCCCAGTTTTGCGTCCAGAATCCTCGAGCACTGACGTCCACACGGGCCTCGTTGGTTGAAAGTCCGGTGATGGAGATTTTCACCGTCCAGTGGAAGGAGGGCCGGTTCCACCGTGACGGTATGGCAAATTTCTTTCAGCATATTCGTTGTGAGATCCCTTACTTCGCCATGCTCCCTTGCTTACGAAACCACCCTTGTGTGCACATCATGGCGTGGTTGACGTCATAGGCTAAGCCACACACACATTGGGTGGGCATGCCCTCTGCTGGCCAACCATACCTTAGACAGGGGTTCCCAAGCTTTTTCTAGCACGACCCTTTCCAAGGTTTTTCCCCGTGACAGCCACCTGACAGCAGTATGCATCAGCAGTGTGTGGTGATTACAATTTTCAGCAATGTACAACTGTTTGAACATGCGGGAATTCAGGTCCTTGGCCTTCACGTAATTGACAGTTGCAATGACTACCTGCATTACATCAGAGAAGCTCTGAGACATGTCTTTTGATGCCAGACTCTGGCGATGGATGATGCATTGGTTTGTTTTAATGTGAGGATGTTTTCTTGATAAAATTCCACGCAATCCAATGCTCTTGCCCATCATTGATGGGGCACCATCTATGCTGCATTCAGTTACCTTACTCCATTCCAAGTTGTTTTCAGTGAAGAACTTATCTATAGCACTGAAAATATCCTCGCCTCGTGTTGTAGTTTCAAGTGAAATACAAGCAAGCAGTTCCTCAGCTACTGAGGATTCCTTAAGAAATCTTCCGAAGATCAGAAGCTGCGGCTGTGATGTAATATCAGTTGACTCGTCCACTGCCAGGGCTGTCCATGGGGAATTTCTGAAGTCTTCCAAAATTTGCTCTTTCAGGTCTGCTGCAAGGCACTGGAGGCGTCTTGTCAGTGTGTTATTACTCAGAGTAGCGTCATCAACAGCTTCAGTTATCTTTTTGGCAAATGGTTCACCCTCAAATACTTCGCAAAAGTTCCTTAAAGTTGGCTTTATGATAGCCTCACCCTCCGTGAAAGGACGTTTTTGCTGAGCAATGAGAAAAGCTGTCTTATATGAGAACATTTCCATCCTTTCCTTGTGAGATATTGCTCTGCTTAAAATTGACTGTGACTTGGTTAGATTTTTATGACGATGATGAAAAATTCTTTTGCGAGCCTCTTCTGAAAGTACAGCAACATTTGTGTGAGTTTCCATGTGTCTCTGTAGTTTGTTCGGCTTCAAAGATTCCTCAGCAAGTTCTTTAGAACACGTAACACAAATCCCTTTACCACTGACGTCAGCTACACCATACTTGTCGAGGAATGATGGATTGATAGAGCGTTTCCGTTTCTTGGTGGCTGGCTCCGATGATGTCTTCAAACACCTGTCCATAATGCCTGGAAAATATATTGCATCTAGTACTAAAAATATTTCAATCTTACAAGCACTTAAGATAAAATACAGTGTGCTTATAACAGGCAAATAATTGGTAATACACATACAAATTAAAATACACGACAAAGTGAATGCATACAAAATACCATGACATAATTAAATTTGCTTAATAAATCAAGTAGCGCTGAGTTGGCCTTCATCTGATATTGTAAATTAATTTTAGTGTCACAAAGCAGGCCGTGGCCGGTCAGTTTGTCAGACTCAGTGCAGGTCCACTGGCATAGCACTAACCTACTGATAGTAAGGATTGTCCTTACTAAGGATTAAACTGGTGAGGCTGAAGATAATCCACAAGCGTCGGCAAGAGCAAAGGTTGCGACCTGTTTCCTGGCCTGGGTCGGTGACCGTATCAGGCCAGGTACCTATAGGTCGCAACCTTTGATCTTGCAGCATCTTGCCGATGCTTGGCAAGTGTCGGCAAGATCAAATCATCATATGTTGCACCTGGCCTGACAGTCACCGACCGGCCCCACCCTTTACTGGGGGTGGAGGTGGGCGGGGTACTGCACAGCTCAACTGTTCTAGGTTAGTGGTGGGAGAGTGGGAGGGACTGGTCAGTTACTCCACCCATCCTCTCCCCTTGTGACCTGAGCTGGCAGACCCAAAGGACCCCAGCGACCCCACCGACTCCATGACCTCTTTGCGACCCTACCTAATGAGCCTTCCGACCCCATTTGGGGTCGCGACCCCAGGTTTAGGAACCCCCGCCATAGAGGCTTAGAGCAATGGTGTCTGTAAGTTCTTGTTGTTAGCCATTTTGAGGCGCCCTCTTCCTGTGGTACAGGTACTTATTTCCTCGAATTCACTGACAGTTGTTGTATCAATTGTTGAAGTTTTTAGTTTGGGTGTGCTGCCGTTCTGTCGTAATGGAACGTCAAATCTTGTGTAATTCGTTGATATCCACCTCTATTGTTGCATTTTGACTTACTATGTGCTCAGTGAGGGCTGCCGTGTGCATGACAAAGTTCTGATGTTCAGCAAGCTCCTCTACATTAGTAATTCCCATTCCTCCTAGTATCGGTGGCCTTTCACTAGTGTTGGAATAAAAGCGACCCTGGTGGCTTCTTCCAGAGGATGGAGGAGAGGTCCGATATCGGGGATAGTGTGCATCTGGTAGTTCCAGCAATGCTTGACTCTCCGTGGGAGAATGCCGTAAATGCAGCATGTGGCTCAGTTTAAACATTATCAGAAAAGCTTGGGGTGCCTTCACCCACTCATTTCCCTTTCCTGTTACGTATTCGGTCCTTAAAACATTCGTGCCGATTACCCCGTCTAAGTGTCTTTGGCCGTCCTTTGTTATTTGACCTCACTTCCGTTGAACACCTTTATTGCCCAGTCATAGTAGTCTAGCTTTACAATGAGGAAGGACTTGCTGGCATTTGGGTGGTGACCTATTTGTGGACTACATACTTTGTGGACTACATACTTCTACTACTACTCATACTTTGTTTAATATGTGACCCCAACTTCCCCCTTATAGCTACACCTTCGTCACCATTTTATTACCTTAATGTACTACTACTAGTTATTACTATTACTTTTACTACTACTTTCTTATTATGGCGTCCAACCTCCCCTTATAGCTATACCTTCTCCACATATTTTATTACCTAACTATTCAAACACAAAAGTAACTACCCTACACTAGCTGAGTTAGTTATACAGCAGATCTATGTGGCAGTCAGTGAATGTTGCCTCATGATCCATGTCTGCAACTGTTTTTGGCTTAGGGGCCAATGATCTTGTTCCCTGAAGCAAAGCAATGCAGACCTAAGTAGAGAGAAGGACAGGCAACCTCTCAACTAGGTTGCAACGTACAGTAACTTCTGGGCTGCTGCTTCTGTTCAGATAATACCTCAGCTTGTCTGGCGTAGAAGCAGCTTGCGCTTGGTCCCATCCCACTAGAGGAGTGAAGCTGTCTTGATCAACGTTCTGAATTCTCTCTTCTAGCCCTGTTCTCGTCGTTCTCGTTCCTCCTGTGCGTAGTCTCGAGAAACAGGTCACGGTGACATGCGTCCATGGGGTCAAATATCCTGATATCAAAGAAGGCTCGCTGTCTCCCGCATCCACAATCATCAAACCCTGACGTCCACACGGGCTTCGTTGGATGTGTTGGAAGTCCTGTGATGGAGATTCTCACCGTCCAATGGAAGGAGGGTCGGTTCTACCATGACACTGTGGGAGATTTCTTTTAGCATACTCGTATTATTCACTGTGAAATCCCTTACTTCGTCACGCCTCATTGTTATGCAAGACTGCTTTTTTAGGTTCGAACCGGAGTTCGACTTTCTGAAACCTGAATTTGTTTAGTTTCCTTTCTTAGTTATATTTTCTACTTCTTAATTAATATTATGTTTAATTAGTTTATGTTATATAAGTTTCATGTTTTATTTTAAGTGCTGTGATTATTGTGTAATGTATTTTATTTATTGTGCAATGTAAGTTAGGTATTATGAATAATGTTAGTTTCATATCTGAGTATGGGGGTGCTGTGGTTCCCTGTCTGGAACCTACGAATTAGTGACAGTCAGGCTGTGTGGACCTCAGGTATCAGGTACAGGTTCACTGGGATATACATTGTTTACATCTTACTCAGCCAATCAGTTGAAGTGTCGATGTTAATTGATACTCATGCTCATGAGCTTACTCTCTTTTTCGCTGGAAATTTATATTTTTTCGTGTTTTTTTCCCGATATCAGCTTTGGTTCTTTAGGTTCGTTTGTGTTGTTTTTTGGTCTTGTTGGGTTAGGTCAGGTCCATCTGGTTTCTCTAGCTAGGTTAGGTTAGACATGTACGCTGCTATATTAGAGTCATTAGGTTAAATTCTTGATGATATTTTTGTTTGGCAAAAATAATTTTCCTCCACCGTTTTTGGTATGTTCTTGATTAACCGAAGAACTTTTCGGTATTATTTTAGTTATGTACAACCATCTCATTCGGGGAGTTGGGCATTTGCAGTCTATAGATGTAATAATTCTATGACCTTTCTTCGATGGCACTTACCTCGTAAATGTCAAATAACGGTGAAATTGGATGTGTTTTATTCCCTTGTTATTATCATATACGAGAGCACCGATCACCTGCTCACCTTGTTACAACCTATCCACTCTCTCCGAGCGTACTCTCACGTCCACAAAAAACGTAAAATTATACCATGACGCTTCAACAAAGTTTCTTCATTGGTTCTAAATATCAAAATAAGTACTTTCTCTTTAATATGGCAGAGGGTTAACCCCCGTCTAGGAAGTTAGGTAAGGTTAGGTAGATTTCTTTGGTTGGCTAGGTCAGGTTTTATTAGGTTCATTATTATTCACTTGCGACGGAAGTGTATAGAATGAAAGTTAGTCAAAATGGTGAGATATGTCAATTGCATGTGTTAAAAATCCCAGATTCCATGGTTGTACGAAACTAAAATTGTACCAACTTTTCTTATATTGAAAAGTTCCTAACTTGGCGCTTTAACCCGGGCACCTGTTCTTATATATTGCACTTTTAATGTTTTTTGTAATAGTGATATTGATATTGAAACAGTTTATTTGGCCAGAATAACACAGATACAGACTCGATTAAAAATCAGAATATTAACATGGCTGAGCCAGTTGAGAGCCTGAGCTCTCTTGTCGGCACCTGATATATATTGTACATTTATCTCGTGGAAGTATTATGTAACATTTAGCATCAACTGGAATAGTACATATAGCATGGTGGTAATAAAAAACATATCAGAATGTTACCACGGTTATCACTTCGATATTTATTTTTTTTTTACAGTGGAAATTGAAAAAACATAATATGATAAGGGAGGGAAGCAGTACAACATGGGTTTTATTAAGGTGGAACAAGACGACAGAGAGCTGTCAGGATTATGTCTAGTTGGCAAATATATTTTTTGCAATGTTAATTTCTTATCTGTCTACATGATAATTTCTGATAAAACGGTTTTGGTGGTACAATAAAAGCAGGTATATAAAGTAGGTCTTACAAAAAATATTAACACTTAGACAATAGATATTTTTTAAGAGATGATTTAAAGGAAGGGAGCGTAGTCTTTGCTCGGATGAGTGGGGGTAAGTTCCACAGCTTCGTACCATGATATTTTATGGAAGTCTGGGACTGAGAGGGGCGCATTGGGGGTGGTCTCAGTAGCTCTTGGTGCCTTAAGTTGTATCTCTGATTATTCCGGAACTGAAAATAATTGTTGTTACGCAAGTAATTGACAGATTTGTAAACAAATATGTCACAGCAGAAGGTGTTAATATCCTCGAATTTTACCATTTTCAATTTAGCAAATTGTTCGTTTGAATGGTCTGTTTTTGTTTTTGTTTTTTTTTTTGCTTTTTCAAGTAGGTCATTGTCCGCACGACTCTCTTTTGTGCAGTAACCAGGGATTGGGTTTTTGAAGAGCCAGAGGCCCCCATAGTGTGTGACAGTGTATCAGGTGTCTGTAAACAAGATCATAATAGATTTATATCATTGCTGTGAGAGTGAGTGACTGTCCAGTGTGATACATGATACCGCACTGTTTATTGACTTTACTGTGAATGGCTTGTATGTGGTTTCTCCAGTTAAGTTTCTCATCAACAGTAACCCCGAGGAATTTAGTTTTTGTTCTCTTTTGAGGACTGAATTACCAAGGTACAGGGGGTCCAAATCTGGGGGTAAGTTTTTCCTTCTGTGAAAGATCGTGTACGTAGGTTTTTTCGAGGTTTAAGGTCAGTTTTTTTTACATATTAACCAGGTCCTGACTTTAGGGATGGAGGTCTGAGTTGCTGGAATAGAGATTACTATCGTCTGCAAATAAGTTGTATTTTATGAGTGTGCTGGCGTGGACTATATCATTTATGTACAACAAATACAGAACTGGACCGAGAATGGAACCTTGAGGGACGTCATACAAGATTGGCGAGGAGTCAGATTGATGATTATTGTGGCAGACATACTGTTTCCTGTTAGACGGATATGAGGTAAACCAATTGTGGGACAGGCCCCTAACGCCGTAATGTTCAAGCTTTGAAAGGAGGATGGTATGGTCGACAGTATCAAAGGCTTTAGAGAGGTCCAAGAATATACCGACTGTGAACTGACTGTTATCAAAGGAGTTTAAGATGTCATTAGTATAGGATAGCAGAGCAATCTCAGTCGACCTTCTAGTTCTAAATCCAAACTGAGAGTCTGTAAAGATGTTATTGACATTTCAGAAGGAATTTAGTCTACAGTACTACATGCTAGCTTCTCCAGTATCTTACTCAAAGCTGGGAGGACTGGTATGTGGCGTTAATTCTTGAAAAGACCTTTTTCCCAAGATTTTTTTACATGTTGGGTGAGCTTGAGCAATTTTCATTTACATTAGATTTCGTTAGGTTTGGTTTAGTCATTTTTTTTTGGGGGGGGGGTGAGTTTACCCCACAATTTGCTTGTACTTCAAAGCCCTGACCAATTTGTTTGATCAAAATTGCATTTTTTAAAGTTACATCATAAAGTAAGAAAAACTCGAAAAATATAAATTTCAGATGAAAACGTTATAAAACATTTTTTTTTATTTGTTGCTCTATCTCCCTATATACAAATCAGTATAGAGTTCCGTGCGTGGTCACTAGCAAATAATTACCAAATAAAACTAGGAATATATTTCATTCTCTGTGCAAATTAATATTAGCAGGGTTATAAACCAATTACTGCAGTATTATTAAAATAAAAAGAGGGGAAATCCACGACGTCACTTTTACATCGTGTGTCAAGCATAACGCATAAAGTATTTTCGTCTGTGGATGCGTAGAAAAATGCCATGATTTTGGGGAGGTTAATGGTAACATTTAAACTTGCGATTATGCCCTCTTGGCCACCCGTTATATAACATTTTAAATAGATAAACTTGTTATGCAGAACTTACCAGTTTATTGAAAAAAAATTGGACTAATGCATCATTTTACTTTTGTAATTTTTTGTGTTTCTTTCGGGAGGGGCGGGGCGAGGTGATGTGAGGCAGCCCAAGTAATATTACTGGAAGTCCTCGTCTTTACTGCGAGATCTTCCCTTACTAACCCGAACAATTTTGAAGAAGAAAACAGTTTCACGAAATACACAATTTAATATTAGTAATTAGAAAAGACTTTTACTGTCATATGATACCAAAGACACAGTGCAACAATAATAATACAGTCTTGGGTTTATTTCTAGTTTGAGAAGATATGAAATTAAAAAGTAAACGAGAATATGACCCATGATATTATACTCAGGTTGTTTGTTTGTTTGTTTGTATATCGAGGGGTTTTGTTTCTCTTATATTATTTTTGTAGTTAGTGATGGTTCTATTTTCTTTCGTTATAAATTACCCTCATCCGTGTCACTTGTTATGAATCACCATCATCCGTGTCACTTGTCATGAATCACCATCATCCGTGTCACTTGTCATGAATCACCATCATCCGTGTCACTTGTTATGAATCACCATCATCCGTGTCACTTGTTATGAATCACCATCATCCGTGTCACTTGTCATGAATCACCAGCATCCGTGTCACTTGTCATGAATCACCATCATCCGTGTCACTTGTTGTGAATCACCATCATCCGAGTCACTTGTCATGAATCACCATCATCCGTGTCACTGGTCATGAATCACCATCATCCGTGTCACTTGTCATGAATCACCATCACCCGTGTCACTTGTCATGAATCACCATCATCCGTGTCACTTGTCATGAATCACCATCACCCGTGTCACTTGTCATGAATCACCATCACCCGTGTCACTTGTCATGAATCACCATCATCCGTGTCACTTGTCATGAATCATCATCATCCGAGTCACTTGTCATGAATCACCATCATCCGTGTCACTTGTCATGAATCACCATCATCCGTGTCACTTGTTATGAATCACCATCATCCGTGTCACTTGTTATGAATCATCATCATCCGAGTCACTTGTCATGAATCACCATCATCCGTGTCACTTGTCATGAATCACCATCATCCGTGTCACTTGTCATGAATCATCATCATCCGAGTCACTTGTCATGAATCACCATCATCCGTGTCACTTGTCATGAATCACCATCATCCGTGTCACTTGTTATGAATCACCATCATCCGACTCACT